TAAACACATTATGGGCGATTACTCTGACGCTTGTTGATGTAGTAGGCAATCAGTCCACAAGTATCGAACGAGAGCAAAAACCATAATTAAACACATTATGAGATATCATTCTGAAGCATGTTGATGTAGTAGGCAATCATTCCGGTGAGGGGTAGTGCCATTTCTACATGCATGAGCCCTGCCAACACGAACCTCCCTGCTGCGAAAACGAAAACGGTGAAAAAGAGAGAGTTATATACAAGGACAAGAAGGAGAAAATAATTCCACGATCAAATCAAAAGCAGACCTCTAGTTCCACGATTTGATGAAGATGAAGCCGTTGAATTCGATTCCACTTCTACTTCCGGGACTGGAATGCTCTCTCCCCGATCTGAGAGACAAATAATCGATATCCAAATATTAAACACAGATTTCGAAACATTAACAAATCGAAATACAAAAGGTGAAACTTTTGCCTTGATTCTCCATAAGCAGCGCAGATCAACGGCGACGAAATTGGGGGTCTAGGGTTTCTACTAGAGACGGACGACGGAGAAAAGATCGCAAAATAAAACAGAAAAAAGGTTAAAAATCGTTCCTCTGTAAGTTATTCAAACTAAATCTTCCTTTGTTTTCGATCTTTATCGTACAAACGTCAAACATATTACCGTAAAAATGTATCAATTGGATGTTTTAACATCACTATAAGGTATAATTGTCACGATTCCTGCTCTATATTGGATGTTTTTTAACCATGTTAAAGTAACAAGAAAAAAAAACTGTATATTGGATAAATGTATAATTGATAATAAATAGCAGTTTTAAGCTTTATCAATTCACAATGCATGAGAGAAAGAAACCTAGCCAAGTATCAAAGCAAAAGAAAGAGGCAACAAGTATCGATAAGAGTCGTACAAATTTAATTTATACAGTACACTAATAAAGCCATACACTAGAGAGTCTAAAACGAAGCCAACAACACATTAATTTATGGCCCATCACCACCATGAACCTTGACTTAGTACGCAAATAGTGTCCGGTTAGGAAAAAGAGCCATATCCACATAGTAGAGCCGAGGAGAAAGAATGTTGGAAACACATGAAGTAAAAAAATAAAGAGTCTAATAAGAAGGAAAATACCATATTTTGCATAGGGCTTGAACTAAAATCCATCATAATGTTATTTCCGGTACAAACAAGGAAAATATACCTGTTAGTAATCAATCAGAGAGTCGGTCTAAAGAATGATGTATGTAGTTGTTAAAAGATTGAAAAAACGTCTACCGGGGGAATATTTACGCGGAATAAACGATTATAAACGTTGGCGAGGGAAGCAAGCTCCTCAGACTCGTCAAGGGTAGTACAAGGGCGTATATAAATGATATGTTTTCCATCAAATGGACAAGCACAAAGTTCTCTTAGATTCTATTGTGACCGGAGGTTTAAGAGCACCATTATCGGTGACACTGGTTTAAAAAGAGTCTCATTATTATTTTATTAATATTTTT